GGCATTGACCCCTTTTTAAAGGTCCGAGACCCAGCCCTTGGGAATACTCCCCTAAGATGTCACCATGCAAATTTCAGCCTCACTTTCCCTGTTAATATCCTCACTTTTTCCTGATAGACATAGCAAGTGTAAGATTTTGACTTACATTGTAATTCTGAAAACAGTATAATTAAAATATTCATATACTAATGGTGACATCTGAATGGACTTGAACAATGCTGAGAATCTTAGAACTCCAAAGCTCTCTAAGAGTTCTTAGTAGTAGAAGCAATCTGTCTGCCTGGATGTGAGAAAACTGTCCTGCTCTGGGATTAAGACCCTTCAGTAATTCTGTGAGATAAAGAACTCCAGATCAACCATCTGGGATGCCAATGACAGAAAAGGATAGTATCAATAAATAAAAAAGAAGTTATTTATATCAACTCCAGTCATGAATAACTAATTACAGAAATGGGGACTCCAGGAGCTATATATAGCTTATCCCTTGCCTGGTATTATTTGGAGAGAGATAGATATATCTGTGTCTATCTGTAAAGACCACATAGACATTTAGACATACTAAATATTTGTATATATTATCTGCTTTCTTTTGACCTCCTCTATCCTATCCTCTTACTATTTTGTATAAGGGTGGTTTCATCATGGATAGGTTTACAATGGAGTCTTTAGGAAACAGAATATTCAGGTAGGACTGCAATTGTAATAGAAGATTAAATATCATCATAAATGGATGTTGTGATTGTCACTTAGAAATGAACATGATGGATGTTTGGATTTTGCATATCTCCTTTTTGGACAAATGAAGAGAGTCATTGCATCTTATTGTGAAATTGTATGAATATGGACAGAAGTGTGTATATGGTACCAAATAACCAGAAGAATGAATTATTTCAGTTATTAAACACTTTTCTGTCAATTCAAAATCCAACCTTCTATACTCTAAAAAGTTTGTGATGTTTCAGCTAAACTGCTTAGTTTTCATTTTCCCTCAGCCACTAGGATTTCTATCAGCTTCTTCCAGTAGGAGGAACTCAAGAGAGACTAGAAAGCAGATGAAAGGGGAAAGGCATATTCTCCCTGTTACAGTCTTACTTTGCCTTTTAATGTCACCCGTCACCTTGAGACAGTAGCTGATTCCAGTCTCCAGTTTGGGTTCTCTGAGAACCAGCTCTGTTTTCCTGTCCCAAAGGTGGCAGATTCAGTCAGGCGGTCCCTCCTCCCTGTGAGTGCTCCCAAATCTGCAAGTGTCCCCTCACCAGCTCCTGAGATGCTGTTAATAGCAGCACGTAAGAAGGCCTCAGAGGTCTGAGACGTCTGAGGAACCTCTTCCCTGATTACCCATGATAATTACATAGTGGGGTGGTGACCTGTTCTTAGAGGTCTGATTCCCAGCTTTGGGGTTCTCTTTGAGCTGCTGAACTACCATCCCCATTCAGGGGATGTCCTCTGTACAGATGATTGGGTCCAGCTCTAAAAGGCCTCTTGTGTAAGTTTTTAGGTTCTCTTAACACTATCTTGTTAAGTTGCGATATGAGATGTGAGAGTTCAATGTGAGATATGAATGTGAGAGTTGGAGTATAAAGAAAGCTGAGCACCGAAGAATTGATGATTTTGAACTATGATGTTGGAAAAGACTCTTGAGCATCCCTTGGATTGCAAGGAGATCCAATCAGTCCATCCTAAAGGAGATCAGTCCTGAATATTCATTGAAAGGACTGATGCTGAAGCTGAAACTCCAATACTTTGGCCACCTGATGCAAAGAGCTGACTCATTTGAAAAGACCCTGATGCTGGGAAAGATTGAGGGCAGAAGGAGAAGGGGACAACAGAGGATGAGATGGTTGGATGGCATCACTGACTCAATGGACATGAGTTTGGCTAAACTCTGGGAGTTGGAGATAGACAGGGAGGCCTGGCGTGCTGCAGTTCATGGGGTCGCAAAGAGTCGGACACAACTGAGTGACTGAGCTGAACTGAACTAACACTATTTTCCTCCCTTTGGTGTCTGACTCCTTTAGTTACTATCTCTGTTACTCATTTAACAGTTCTTTCTGTATTAAATTCTCTCTATTTAAATATCTTGTCTGGTTTTTATTTTATGCAGTCTTAATTTGATCTCTAAGAGTTTTGTGAACTAGGATAAGTCATCTTCCCTTTCAAACACTCAATCCCTTGTCTGTTTAACCAGGGGGTGGGGGTTGTGGTTACAGAAGGAGAAGTATGAGTAATACCAAGGTGGTCTTTCACAACTTGTTTTCTGAGAAATGCTAGTCAAGCATTTCCTTCTTGCAAATAGTACTTATGGCCATGTGGACTTGGGAAATGTTAACTACTATAGCAAACCGTGAGAGAATCACAATGCACATAAGCATAATCAAGGCTCTGAGAAGCCCAGCAGAAAAGAAACCTATTTTGCTTTGATTCACTATCTCCCCTCAAATTCTTTAACTTGGGAAACTTTTCTCTTTTTAGTTAACCTCTCTTACCACTCTATGACATACACTGAAAAATTCTTAGCAGTTCAAAAGTTTTGCAAGTTTTTTTTCAAGATACTTTCACTGAAGAGAAATCTAATGCCTATAATATATAATAGTTTTAATGGGTTTTATTTATCTTTCTCAGCTCTAAGCATAGATGTTGACTGATAGTAATGTGCTTTGCAGTGAAATGTAGAATAAATGCTGAGGCAGGGCAGGAAGGATGTTAGAACACTAGGAAAATTATTTCAGGAAATGAAAGACAAAGTGAGTGAATTTTGGAGGGGATTATAGGACAGACTCACATTGTATGGTTAAGTGAACAAGCTATGGATTCAACTGCTCAGGTATAACTCTCAGCTCTAGCACTTGAGTACCACTTGATTCTGAACAAAATCATTTGTCTTTACTGTCCCTGGATTTCTTATCTTTAAATGGAGCTAACAGTAGTATATATTTCACAGGTTTGTGAAGAAATTAAGTATAATATAGTATATAATGTGATTAACACTAACTTGCACTTAATTATTTCATGTATTCTCAAAAACAGGAAAAGTCCTTGTATAATGACTTAATTTAGATAATAAAATTAGTAATGAAATGAATATAAGCTGTTCTAAATGGGAGGAAATTCAGAGGATGTCTATTCCATCCCCCTCATCCTATAGAACTATGTCTCCCAGAGTCTAAGAGATTTGGTCATGGAGCTAATTAATAAGGAAGTTAGATGGAGATTTTAGCTTCCTCACCCTTCAGTTCAGTTCTGTTGGTCAGTCATGTCTGACTCTTTGCGACCCCATGAATCACAGCATGCCAGGCCCCCCTGTCCATCACCAACTCCCGGAGTTTACTCAGTGATGCCATCCAGCCATCTCATCCTCTGTAGTCCCCTTCTCCTCCTGCCCTCAATCTTTCCCAGCATCGGGGTCTTTTCCAATGAGTCAACTCTTCACATGAGGTGGCCAAAGTATTGGAGTTTCAGCTTCAGCATCAGTCCTTCCAATGAACACCCAGGACTGATCTCCTTTAGGATGGACTGGTTGGATCTCCTTGCAGTCCAAGGGACTCTCAAGAGTCCTCTCCAACACCACAGTTCAAAAGCATCAATTCTTTGGCGCTCAGCTTTCTTCACAGTCCAACTCTCACATCCATACATGACCACTGGAAAAACCATAGCCTTGACTAGATGGACCTCTTTTGGCAAAGTAATGTCTCTGCTTTTTAATATGCTGTGTAGGTTGGTCATAAATTTCCTCGCAAGGAGTAAGCATCTTTTAATTTAGTAGAGCTATTTCAATTAAACTTTAATTTGTTTGACCATAGAATTTTTTTTTTTTTTTTGGTATTTTCCTGGATAAAGGCAAGAGTAGTAGTTCTAGAATATTTCTCTCTGGGCTCAGAGTCCCGGCTGATCTCCATGATTTTAAGACCCAGCTATGGTTAGTGAGGGACTTATTGATCTGCACACACCATACCACATGCTTTCTCCTGCTTCTAGTTCCTGCTTCCCTAACACCATTCTGTGTGGGAGAAATATGGGTAGAGTTAGTATCAGGAGGAGCTGGAATAGTAGAAAGGGATAAAAATAGCCTCATTCATTTTTCTTCAGCTTGATTGAGGTACAGTTGATAAAGTTGCAAGATATTTAAAGTGTACAATGGGATGATTTAATATATGTATACATTGTGAAATGACTTACTCTTTCAAGTTAATTAACATATCCATCATCTCATGTATTTACTTTTTTTGATGAAAGCATTTAATTTCTGTTCTCTTAGCAAATTTCAATTATATGATACAGTGTTATCAACTATAGTCACCATTCAGACCCTATTTATCTTAGAACAGAAAGCCTGTTGAGTGAGCAGAAAGGAGATGAAGGTTTGACTACTGCAATACAAACTCACATTTTTTTTTTTTAAGAACGGGATGACCAAGTCTGCTGCTAATATTTTCTACCTCTCAGAATCCCGAGGGACACTGACGCTGGGGAGGTAACCACTTCCTTTCCCCATACTTGAGGAAAGTCTTCTGAGCATTGTTAAACAGATCCAGAGAACCATGTTTATTATTGTTTTGTTTAGTGATACACTTAGAAGGATAAAGAATATGAGATATAAGAACAGTCATAATCAACAAGCCTTCTACCACTTCATGGAATTATGAGGAACATATTATTTTAAAAGAAGAGCTTAATGAGATAAAACAACACTGTACTGCAGTCCAACTGAGGCTATATACAATGCATATAGAGTTTATGATCTATGTATAATTCATATGTATAAAAACAACATATTTTATTGACATAAAATAGCACAGCAAGGTTTAAAACAAATGGCGAAGCTCAATGCAGGCTTTACAATGCCCCTGAAAGCCATTTTACTAGCATAAAGGCCTCCAACATGCTGGTATTAACCTACTGATAAATATTTAGACTATTTATATTTTGTTCTCTTCAGAACTAAGCCAAAATAATTATATTTTAAGGCAACCTTTAGAAGTGTCAGCATTTCTTCTTTTATCTGCTTTGTGGCAAATGTTATTCACAGTGACAATTAAAATATTGAACAATGAAGGACAAAGATTGGCAAATTCATCCAGAATCCATTATATCCTTTTATAAAGTTGTCTCTAATGTACAGCAAAGTCATATTCTTTAGCAACCTTCACCTTCCAATTGTGAAGAGTAACATTACTGCTTTTCTGCCCATACAGGCTTACTCAAAGTTATATGTTAGAGATTTCAATTTTGATTTCATGTTCAGAAAAGCAACTATACAAGTCTCATTGCTATTTTTAAAAATTCAGAAAATGAGAACTTACAGAATACAGGTTATTATGGCTGCAAGCTATTCCACACTGTTGCTCACTTCCATTGTATCTTTGGAAAGATAAACTATCCAGTATACAAGGTTGAATCCTGCAAATGCAACTGGGAAGAGAATCCGAGAATACTGGTCTATTTTACTGGTACCTCCAAAGGTTGGAGAGAGGGGTGGGGGAGTTACAGGTGTTGGCTGTAAGATGGGAGCTCTTGTGAGGACTTTGCTGGCCTCAGGGGATGGAACTATTGGCAGTGTCAGAGATGTGATTCTTTTCTTCAGATGGTACTTCGAATCAGGATGCTGTAGAGAAAAATATACATATATATTCTACTTGGGTAAAGGAACAGACATCACTCATTCATTTCATCATCATTGACAGCTATTTGCGGACTTTTATTATATAAATTGAGCTTCCCTTGTGGCTCAGATGGTAAAGAGTCTCCCTGCAATGTGGGAGACCAAGGTTTGATCCCTGGGTCAGGAAGATCCCCTGGAGAAGGAAATGGCAACCCACTCCAGTACTCTTGCCTGGAAAATCCCATGGATGTAGGATCCTGGAAGGCTACAGTCCATGGGGTGACAAAGAGTCGGAAATAACTGAGCAACTTCACTTTCTTTCTCTTTCTTTCTATCATATAAGTTAAAGTACCAGCAAATTCTTTTTTCTTTTTTTGAAGTGGACCATTTTTAAAGTCTTTATTGAATTTGTTACAATATTGCTTCTGTTTTATGTTTAGCTTTTTTGGCCATGAGGCATGTGGGATCTTAGCTTCCTGATTAAGGATTGAGCTGCACCCCCTGCACCTGCAATGAATTGGAAGGCACAGTCCCAACCACTGGATCACCAGGGCAGTGTCATCAAATTCTTAATAATATTTGATGGTGCTACTTTTCCAGAAAGGTGGTAAAACAAATTCTAAAAACATTGATTTACTAATAGTCACTGGTAGCTCAGTTGGTAAAGAACCTGCCTGCAATTCAGCAGACCCTGGTTGGATTCCTGGGTCAGGAAGATCCCCTGGAGAAGGGATAGGCTACCCACTCCAGTATTCTTGCCTGGAGAATTCCATGGACTGTATAGTCCATAGGGTCTCAAAGAGTCATACATGACTGAGTGAATTTCACTTAATATCCTATAATTTTATGTATCAGCAATTGATGCCAAGCATGATCCATGTCCCAGGAACTGTGTTGAGTATTGTACTATTAGGAAGAGCTAAGCCAGGTTATAAGGGTTTATCCACTCACTACCCCAGTTTATCCACTCACTACCCCAGTTATGTGTATAGGCAATGAGAGGGAACGTCACGATGACAGGGAATTTCATTTTGGAGTATGTTGGCAATTAGTTAATACCATAAAATAACAGCTCAGTTAAATGATAACATTCTTCTAGGCATGTTCCCAGCTTACAGCCTAATCTTCACACATTCATAAATTTGAATCAACTGAGGTATGAACAATAGCAAAAAAATTTCAAAGTGCTGATGTACATCAAAAGCCAGGCCAAAGTAGAAATACCCTTACTATTCTTCCCTCGAAATATGACTGCCTCTTGGTCCAGAGTTCTGTATTGTGAGCTTTCTGCTTCCTATTCAGAACTTCTCTACTGTCTCCTTCCATCTTAAATTACCAAAAATGATAGATTTACTAACCTCAGAATTATTAGATGTTCTTTTCTATCATTAGCTTTTCTATTCCACTGAAATCAGAGGACAACCAATTCTAGTCTTGAAAGGGATATTCAGTGCATTGAGTAACAGATGAGAGGCTGAGATCTAGATGTGGGAACTGCTTCACCCACACTTTCACAGCCAGTAGTAAACCACCGTGGTTAATCTCAGTGCTTGCTATATCCCAGCATCTTCTCTTCTTTACTGTAAACTATTGAGCCTGCTTCAGAGACTAATTATGTTTGCTTTAGACACCTTTCAAAATGGTGGAGACTAGGGGGACTTCCTTGGATTCTTACTTTTTCTTGTATGCAGCCTGTAATAATCACTCTCCTTGTGGCTGGGTTGTCCTTGCTGAGTCCCTGCCTTCACACACACGCTGTACATTATCCCTGCTCTTGTAAAACTGCCTGGTTCCTCTCTGGCAGCAAAATCGCCACTGTGCTGCCTGGCAGGGTGTGTTACTGACACGGACAGACTCCCGTGGCTTAGACGGCAGCCCCGTGGCTACGGCATGAGGCGGCCGCTCCCCGTGCTCGTGGAACCACAGGACCGGAATGGCCCGCCGATGCAGGCACGCTTGGACTCTGGGAAAACATCAACCCCAAGAACCTCTTCTCTCTCTACTCCTGAATTTTGCTTTTGATTTGTCATGGGTGTTGCTGAACATCTAAATAGTAATAGTCATCACAGAATCATCAAGCCCACTGTGCTTTTGGGGGCCATAGTAAACCCTGTTTCTTTACCAAAAGCAAGAATAAATTCCTGTGAAGTCTGATTTGACGTGACCATGTGAATTTCAAGCAAAGAATATCTTTACTTGTTATCTGTTGACCAGATATTGGGCTAGGCACTGTGGCAGAAATAAATAAATCAAAGGTATTGGAGGGTGAAGAGAGTTTCAAATAGAAGATTGCCCAGTCTACTGATCTTGAATAGGAAATAAGTGACATTTTCTATTAAAAATATGTGACAACCTTCTTTGATTCTTTGCTTTATAAACCATTGTCACTCTTCTTTCATAAATTCTATTCATTCCTCAAAGTCAATTTTAAGCTTCACTTTCTTACTGGAACCTCCTTTCATTTCTGGTGCCCTTATTGATCATTCTTTCTTTTCAGTGCCTACATCTGTAATATACAATTTTAAATCTAGATATTGATATATGGGTATAATATCTGGCATTGTACACAGCTGTCTTGTTAGTCTATTTTACAAATAAATTGTTAAACAACTGAAAAAAATGTGACAACTGAGGACAACTGTGCCGAGGGTCACCAATAGTGTGTGGATAGGACCAGTGTAGTGGTATTTCAGTCTTAATACATGCTGCCTGTCTTAGAAGATAAACATAGCATTGTCAGCCAAAGCTTTCTATCATGTTCCCCAAATTTTAATTTGAATTTTTAACTATTATATATGTTATCAAAATGTTCTCCACCTGAAAGATCAAAATGTGTCACTGTTTAATCTTTAAAAAGAGTTCTTCTCCTTCCAGATATATATAACATTAAAATATTTTACTCTAATAAATTTTCTAAGTATCTTAATGGAGAATAAAGAGGGCAAGGCTTTAGAGCGGATCTTCTTTCTAAACCTGTCTTGATTTTTAATAGCATGCATTGTCTGTCTGTCACCTATGTTTCTTTCTTTTTAAGGGAGAAATAGGGAAGACATGAACAAGTTCATTGAGATGAAAAAGTGTAAATTATAATCTAGCATAAAAACATAATGTATTGTTTTATCTCACTCTCTTGGAGATGTGGGGAGAAGGTATTTGTCAATCTCTTGGCATGTCACAGTGTCACAAATGACTTAATGAGGATTGCCAAATAGCCCTTGTTCAGAGTTAAGCAAGATCATTCAAGACCTAATGCATGAAAAATTTATGCATAATAGCATTAGCTTGGAATTAAACATCTCCTATGATAGAATCCTTCCTTTCCTCATCTGCTTCCCCAGGCAGTCTCTATGGAGGGTTGCTTAGAAATTAGAGGGCAACAGAGTCAGAAAGCCCTAGTCTGCAATTCCACATTCACTACTTAGCTGTTGCATGACTTAGACATGGCAAAGGAGTCATAGATTCTCCCTAAGCTTAAAGTTTCCATCTTTAAAGTTAGAGACAATAATTATTTCATCTGTAAGGATTTTTTCCCTTTCTTTAAGAACTTGAGAAAGAAAATGTCTCTTCATTATATCCTTCCTGCCTACTTAGCTGTTACAACTCTTCTTGCTATCATATCTTCCCTGTAAACATTACTTCTGTTGTGCTTTATCCCCCTTCCTGACTTGAAATCTTAATGTAGACATCTTTGTTAATGGTAGAGGGCATATTATTTTCATGTATAAGTACTCCAAACTGCCTAGCCAGTGCATAGAACACAGTGAATGCTTCATAAGCATATGCTAAATCAATAAATGAATGAAAATTTAAACATTTTCTGAGACTTAGAAGAGTTTTCAGGCAAAGAGACGGGAACAAAATATTTCATGATTATTTTACATTGTATTTTGGCATATTGTTTATATTACATTATAAGTACCATGTTTCCCAGGTGGCACTAGTGGTAAAGAACTTGCCTGCCAATGTAGCAGACATAAGAGACGTGGTTTGATCCCTGCATCAGGAAGATCCCCTGGAGGAGGGCATAGCAACTCACTCCAATATTCTTGCCTGGAGAATCCCCGTGGATGGAGGATCCTGGTGGGCTACAGTCCAAAGGGTCACAAAGAGTTGGACACAACTGAAGCAACTTAGCACACAGGCATGCACATAGGAACCATATCTAAACACTTGCCATTTACAAGCACTACCTGACACTCTGCCTGCATTATTTTGCTTATTCCTAGAAAGAATCTCTAATGCAATAATATTTTGTTTTAGAGATGAGCCAATGAAGGTATAAGCAGGAAGCTCACACAAGTAATAAGTGGTAGCACTTGAATTCAATCCCTCTTAGATGCCTAAGAGTAGTGGTCCCCAAGCTCTGGGCCACAGAGAGCTTGGGGACCCCTGTCAGATGAGAGGCAGCAATAGATTAGAAATAAAGTGCACATTGAATGTAATGTGCTTAAATCTTCCCAAAACCATCCCCCAACCCCAGTTCATGGAAATATTATCTTCCATGAAATCAGTTCCTGGTGCCAAAAATGTTGGGGACCACTGCTAAGAGCATAATCTTAATAAGTACTCTTTTTCCTTTGGCTACAGTCCAAAGGGTCACAAAGAGTTGGACACAACTGAAGCAACTTAGCACACAGGCATGCACATAGGAACCATATCTAAACACTTGCCATTTATAAGCACTACCTGACACTCTGCCTGCATTATTTTGCTTATTCCTAGAAAGAATCTCTAATGCAATAATATTTTGTTTTAGAGATGAGCCAATGAAGGTATAAGCAGGAAGCTCACACAAGTAATAAGTGGTAGCACTTGAATTCAATCCCTCTTAGATGCCTAAGAGTAGTGGTCCCCAAGCTCTGGGCCACAGAGAGCTTGGGGACCCCTGTCAGATGAGAGGCAGCAATAGATTAGAAATAAAGTGCACATTGAATGTAATGTGCTTAAATCTTCCCAAAACCATCCCCCAACCCCAGTTCATGGAAACATTATCTTCCATGAAA